CAACCGGTTCTCCCGAATAGGTGCGAACTGGCTGAATCCCACCACTGAGACAGAGACACAAAAATAGTGGCATTTAAACATTTGTGAACCCTTTTGAATTTTTAATATTTCTGCCTAAATATATGTGATTTATTGTTCACATGTGTCTTAAAACTAGGTAAAGATAACCCAGTTATATAAATGGTCCTGAAACCCTTATATTTGTTCATTTATTGAAGATAACGTGTTGGTGTTGCTTACACAAAACTCTTAGTAGGAAAGAGAAGGAAAGATTTCTTCCAACAACTGGTTCTCCGAACTGCTTAGAAAGTTACTAACTGGTTCTCCCGAATAGGTGCGAACTGGCTGAATCCCACCACTGATACCTACCCTATATTTGCAGAACTTGCTACTCCAGCCTGCTCCTTTGTTATGGCACAGCAAAAGTGGGCAGCTCCATTCTGTTGGCCACAGGGTGTAGTAGGACCTCTGAAATGACCTGCAAATCTCCCAAGAAGCCTTTGGATCAATTCAGAAGACATCAAATCTCTGTCAAACCTAAAATGTTCTGGCTATGTCTACTGGCAATGTCTGAGTGTTTGGGTACATGCATAGAATAGTTTGAAAGCACGTAAAAATGCAAGTAGAAAAATAGGAACCACCTTTGGTGGGAAGGTAACAGCGTTCCGTGCGCCTTTGGTGTTTAGTCATGCCGGCCACATGACCACGGAGATGTCTTCAGACAGCGCTGGCTCTTTGGCTTTGAAATAGATATGAACACCACCCCATAGAGTCGGGAATGACTAGCACATATGTGCAAGGGGAACATTTACATTTACCTTTAATTTGTGTGATGCCATTTATACTATTTATAAATGCAAAATTGTTTAAATTATTCTAGTTTAGGCACCCAGCTGTTGTGGCTTGTAATCATATGTGCCAGTGCAAATCTGACTTGTTCTTTTGGCCATTTTCAAATCAAAATGTCACATGCGTATTCTAGATTATGCATTTCCCTGCCTGATGCTGGAAACATCTGGCGACTCAGACTTAGAAGGAAGAGCGGACGAGTACAGGCAATCTTTGACTTACGACCACAATCGAACCTAACATTTATGTTGCTAAGCGCAACATTGGTTCAGCGAGCTTCATCCCACTTTACAAACTTTCTTGCCGCTGTCGTTAAATGAATCATTGCAGTTGTTAAATCAAGGGAATGGCGGTTGAGTGAATCCGTCTCCCCCATTGACTTTGCCAGAAGGTCACAAAAGCGGAGCGCATGACCCCGGGACACGGCAACCGTCATATAAGTGAGTCCATTGCCAACTTTGATCAAGTGACCGCAGGGATGCTGCAATGGTGATGCGACAAACGATCCCGAGTCACTTTTTTCAGTAACTTTGAGCGGTCACTAAATGGACTGTTGTAAGTCAAGGACTGCCTGTAATGAGGACATGGTTCCCTCGTTCCTATTCATTGTCGGAGCTGCATGTCTGGTCCAGTGGTGGGTTCAGGATCCCGTCGCAACCAGTACACTGCGATGGGGCTGGGTGTCTACCAGGTGCACACATGTGCACCCACCACCCGCAAGGCTCCAGCTGCTCGGCGGAGCGTCGCGCATGCGCCATACGCTGCATGCACGCGCGCAAGTGGCCCAGTTGGATCCAATATAGCTAAGGAATGCAGGCTGGCGGGTACCGTACCGGAACGATGCCTGTTGCTCCCGGAATTCACCACTGGTCCGGTCCCACCATCTGCTACTTTCCCTGCATCGTCTCTCTTGCTTGGGACAGATCCTGCAGGAGAAGAAGCGGGCGACGGAGAGGCTGGCCTCCTTCTCTGCTCAAAACGAGAAGCGCCTGCTGGGGCTGGAGAGGAACGTGCAGCTGATGCGGCAACAGCAAGGCCAGCTCCAGAAGCGTTTGCGGGAAGAAGTGGAGCAGAAGCGACGTCTGGAAACCGAGATGCAGAAGAGGCAGCATCGGGTCAAGGTAGAGATGGCTGGGCTCCAGCAGCACCCAAGCGAGAAAAGAGGGCGATAGGCTGTGCTTGTCTACCGTGTTTGAATTGTATTTCTTTTATTAGCAATAGGACTCAAGACAGTTCTGACCCAGGCTTCCCCAGCGGCACAAAGCCGAGTCCTTGGCCCAATAAACCCCTTTTATTTAATTTACAGTGGAATTCCTCTCCAGCAAAGTCCTGGCCCACAGTTTCTCAAGATAGTCCACCAATCACCGACCTTTATCAGGCTTGGAGAGTGGCCAGGCTGATATCTTTCAGACATCGCAGTACTTGGCAAGAATGCAGGAATGAACTAATTGTCTCCTGCAAACTCCACTCCCCTTTCGTTCCTCTTTTATTTCCTATGGGAGGGGCCATTCATCATCCACCTGTGGCCTTACTCCCAAGGCAACCCTTGTTACTTAGCTGTTCCCTTCATCTGGCAACTCTGCACATGTGCACACTGGGAACAGGCTCCAGCTGTTCATCTGCCTCACTGATCTATGACTCCAAAGGCAGCTGATAACTGTCGGACAGCCCTGGTCTCATCTCCGCCTCTGACACAGAGCCCTCATCAGAGCCTTCCCCAGACTCCAGGACTGGCCCATGTTCCTCCCCAACCTCCTCACTGTCTGAGTCTGCTGCTTTCCCTGTCGATGGAGGCTGCACATGTAGGATTCTCACTTTGAAATGCTGATCAATTTTCAGTAGTCATGGTTGGAGTTTGACCTGAGGAATTATTTAAAATAGTTCAGAAGCTGTATCCCTACTCACAGTCACCCATGCCTTTGTCCCTTCCCATCTTGATTATTGCAACATGCTCTACATGGGGCTGCCCTTGAAGAGCATCCGGAAGCTCCAGTTGGTGCAAAATGCAGTGGCATGCACGGTTTTGTGCAGACCCCGGTGTGCACAAGTATCTCCTCTCCTGTGGGAGCTGCGTTGGTTGCCCATTTGTTTCCAGGTGCAATTCAAGGTGCTGGTTGTCACCTTAAAAGTCCTTAAATGGCTTGGGACCAGGTTATCTGAGGGACCGTCTCTTGCCCGTCACATCAGAGCGGGAGGGAGGAAATGTTGTGGGTCCCATCCCCGAAGGAGATACACCTGGCGGGATCCAGAAGAAGGGCCTTCTCCATGGTGGCTCCCTCTCTCGGGAACCTCGTTCCCCCGGTGATTAGAATGGTCCCCACTCTGAAAGACTTCCAGAAGGCGCTGAAGACCTGGTTCTGCCAGTGGGCCTGAGGAACCCAGACTGGCCCATTAGATGGGCGAATAGGCGGCAATATAAATTCAATAGATAGATATATAAAATAAATATATGCTATCTAGAAGATCCAGGTGGTTCTCCCTTGCTTTAAATAGATTCACAAACAGTAGCTAAATTGTGCGTTTCCTTCCTTCCATCTTTAGGAGTTGGAACTGAAGCACGAGCAGCATCAGAAGATTCTGAGGATCAAAACGGAGGAGGTAGCTGCCTACCAGCGGAAGCACAGGAGCGGCAGCAATGACTCTATGATCAGTCTTGAACAGCAGCAGGTAAAGGCGGATGCCCAGGAGCTTCTTGGCAGGAAACTGGGCCACAAGTAGAGCCAAGGACAAAATGAACATCACAACACAAGTGGGACAATCGTGTTATTTGCACAGCGATATTGAGGATACGCACACATCCTCATCCTCATCTGGACTTAGTTGTGACTTTGATCTTGAATTCTTCCAATTCTCCCCAATGTTTCTCCCCAAAGGGATGGTTTGATTAATTTACATGATGCCATCAAGTCATCCTCAACTCCTGAAGACCTCATAGATAGATCTTCTCCATTACCAAAGAGACACTCCCTTTAAAATGGTGGCTTGTACTTATTTCGGTTCACCGACAAATGCGCGCATGACAAATGCGCGTCAACGAAACCGTGGTGAGAAAACCGCGATGTCGAAATCGTGCCCACAGCAGCGCGCCGATAAAAGCGCGCCTTCAACAACACGAAAACAATGTAATAACCCTAATCCTAACCCTGAACCTAACCCTAATTCTTACCTTAACCCTAATCACGCTTTTGTGGGCGCGGTTTTGTCGGCGCGCTGTTGTGGGCACGATTTCGACATCGCGGTTTTCTCACCACGGTTTCGTTGACGCGCATTTGTCATGCGCGCATTTGTCGGTGAACCGAAATAAGTACAAGCCACCTTTTTAAAGGGAGTGTCTCTTTGGTAATGGAGAAG